GGCGCTCTCCCCCGGGGCCAGGACAGCTGGAGGGAGGACACGGGGCAGGTCCGAGGCCTTCAAATCAAGCGGCAACGTTCCCGCCCGCCAGCGGTCTCCCCTATCCCAAGCAGATGCTGCTGTCTTCACAGCAACCCCAAACAAGGCAGGATTTCCACACTCACTCCTACTGCCCTTGCGCCAACAGCACCCACGGGAGCTAAGTCCAACTTCCCTGTCCCCTCTCACCTGTCGGTGCTGCAGCCATGTCTCCCACCAGTGTTCCAGCCAGGCCAACGGGACCCTCTCATCCCTAAGCACCTACTATGAATAACACCTAGATCCCTAGATCAAATAGATCAATTTAAAAACAAAGAAAGTCTTTCTCACTTAATTCCATCTTTCATGATGATTCCCTCACTAGTTACATATATAAACTCGAAACACAACTTGCTGTGATTTGATTTTGTTTGGGAAATAAGCATCAGCCATCAAGCTCGTTTCCTTTATGATCTAGGTGCATGCTGAAAGCCCATATGGCTGTTTCCTCTGGCCTCCTTTGTCTATGCTAGCAGGCGTGGAGCCGAGGTGCACATCCAGATACAGCCAGCACGTCCCAGGCGGGAATCCAGGCACAGCACACCAAGGCCCGTTGCCAAACACACACAGAACACACGGGGAGGGTGGGCAAGGTCGCAAGATTAGCAGGCACAGTGGGGGACACACCCACGAGGCCCGGGGACAGACCCCCGGAAGGCGAGCCTACAGGAAGCCCTGGGTCAGAGCCAGGGGCTCCCGGGGCCTTTTGCACAAACAAGTGGGCGCTGCCTGACACACGCCCAGAGGCGATAAACCAGCCACACAGAGTGAACAAGCAAAGCAGCGATGCAGGGGAAGACTCTGTTGCAACGTGGGTGTCTCCTTCATCACCTACAGTAGAGGCCACTGAATTAAATTACTATAAATGCCACCTCTGAGTAGAATAAATAATCTGGAGCAACATCTAAAACTCAATTTTCAGTCACGAACTGGTGGCTGAGGCATTCCCCCAGGGGATTCAGAAAACCAGGTCCTCTTCCAAATAGACAAGCCACCATCACCACCAAAGGGTCCCTCAGGACAGAAACACACCCTACCTGACGCCCGCCAGCCCAGCGCTCACAAATGGCAGCCCACAGATATGCTGGTCACACGAGCCCATATCTCCCTGAGATGCATCCAAATCGAGCATAAAGAGAGACAGAGAAGAAGATTCCACCTTCACTCAAGCTGGCCTTCCACGACCTGACCAGGAGTGGTAAGTTCGGTGACCTCACTGCACTTGATCTGACTCTGCTGGGTCAGCGCAGATTCAGGGATCACAGGAGGACGAGAAGGGAGGGATTCCTCTGAAGTCAAAGCAAAGGCACCAAGAAGTAAAAAAGCAACAAAACCAAAATCTAGTGATGTTATGCTAAACTGAACAACCGGAAAATCTCCACACCTAAACCAGGAGGCAGAATCAAAAATTCAAGGAAGGAATGGAAGTAGGACTCATAGCTAAGCGGAGAAGTTGTCAAAGTGACAGAAAGCAGGAACATGTGGTCAAGAGTGGGCGGCTGAACTAATGATCAGACTTCAGGGTTAGCAAAGCAGATGTCAATCAAGGCAGCATGGATTTCCATCAACTTCCCTGTGCTGAAAAGGACAGACTTTTACTAGCTACAGAAGCACTCACTTCAGAAGCCTTATAAGAATTTTAAATGAATTATTAAATCACTCTTTTAAGTTTCAACATGTAGATTTTCAAAAGACAATTTTAAGATAAGTCAGAACTAGGAATTTTCTAGCAGCTTCAAGAGGCAAGTATCCATTTGAGAGACCAAAAGATATTTTATATTTGTAATTTTAGAAGCGAATACATAAATAGAAGAACAACCTTGCAATTATTTTGGGATCCATAGGACCAAATGCCAAGAAATGTGTTGACCCTTCAAGCAATGGCAAACAGAGTCCCATTCCCAAGCTAACAACAATGGCAGCTACATTTATTTACTGCATGTGGGTCTCCAAGCTTTTACACGTGACCTCACTAATTCCTCCCAACAGCCTATCAAAATGCTACTACTGTTCCCATTTTACAAATGAAGAAAGTAAAACAGACAGGTTTAGAAACATCCCCAGGGCCACCCGCCTTTACTAGGGCCAGGGCGTGGGCCCAGGCTGTCTGGTTCAGGGGTCACACGCTTCGCCACAACTACCTACACCTGCGGGCGTGTTAATGCTAGGCACGCGGGTCAGGGGTCACATGCTCACAAGGCTGAGGCGCCACCGTGGTCTGAAGCAACAGTATTCTTGCTGATATGTCAGTGCTGTCCAGTGAAAGCAAACTGATATCTATGCAATTTCATCAAAATAAAATTGACTAAACCTATAAATCTGCTTACATTGTTTTCTTAAAGGTGTGGAATCTTAAAGCAGATATGTATCTTGGTTAATTTTAAATAAGAAACTGTTCACACACCAAAATAACAATAATAAGACAAGAAAACCAGAAGTTTTGCTCACTCTGAAAAATTAAAAATGACTACAAAGTTCACTGTAGCAGAATGATAAAAGAACGCAAGGCCAGCTGACGTGGGATGACTTTACTATCCACTTGCGCCGAACCTGGCTTCATACCCAAAGGGTCTTCATGCCATTCCATAGCTTTTGACAGTCATTAAGGGTTTGCTAGAAAATGCTATCCTGGGGGACTGCCGGTGCTGGACAACTTACCGCTAGTAAGACAGTAGCTTCAGCTATTGAGTGCTGTGAGGAATACACTGAGCTAAACAGCTGACGCATGTCACCTCAAAAATCTCTAATACACCTGAGATTCATGTCACCGTCACATTTCAGAGGCAATGAAAGTAATTCCCAAATGGCAAAAACCTTGGAAAAGGGAAAACAAGTGAATTCGAACCAAGTCTGTAGGACCACAATGCTTCTGTCCTCTCCCTCCAGCCTGCTATACTATTTTATTGACATCACTTTATCACTATCATATAGCATTTAAATTAAAGCGAATAACTAGCTCATTATAGTGAGCTGATGATAATGAAAATACCACTCCACAGTTATAGAATGGCCGTGTTCTGCCTGCCCTGACATTTCCCAGAGTCTGTTTGTCCCCTCTCGAGTCACCAGAGGCCGTGACGCTCCCTGGAGCAGGACAGGGCAGAGCAGCAGCACCTGTGGCCTCCTGGGCCTTCTGCCACTAGGGAGAAAAGGCCGCTTTGGTCCCACATCTCAGACGACAAGGCTCACAGGACCGCATCTCCGCAAACATCTGCTTCAGCTTGTTGTGTCCCCGAATGAGAATAAATGAGTGGCCAGTGGGATAGAACATTTTAATTAAAACTCCAGTCATCCTAATCATCTCAGTTCCTGGAAGGAAATGACTGGATGATATCAGTAAAAGGGCAAGGAAGTAAAGCAGAAAGAGGAGGAGGAAGGAGAGGATGGCTCTGATGGCCCTCTGGTGGGCCTCGGTGCTGGGGTCCCCGGCGCTGCCGCCATGCTGCCGCATCTCCCGCGTGTGCCTCCCCAGGGAGAGGAGGAGCACGAGGCAGGAGGTCAGAGACACGACGAGGGGAGGGACGTTCCACAGAATGCCGAGGCCGTGGACCAGTTCATATTCATGTTTCTTTCTGAAGTGCTCAGTCATATTCCTTGTGGCATCAATTCCAATCAAAACAGAACAGATCTTAAATTCATGGATCAGGGACATGGTGCTGGCGCACGACAGGAGCAGGGCTCCCAGCAGCATCCATGCGACCAACCTGGAGACTCTCCACTTGAGCCACAGGAATGTGGGGTGAGAGAAACTGGCGATTCTCAGGCAGTAGAGGGCATTGAGACAGGTGACAAGCCAAATGCTCAGGTCATTTGTGAAAGTCCAGATAATCTCAAGAAAATGCATTTCTACTCCCCTGTCACATACTTGAGAAGGAAACACCATTAAAACACCGTCAGCCAAGAGAGAAAACAGCAAAATAAGCCTGGAGAGAGCCAGAGTAGTGACGATGAAGTCAGACAAAGAGATCCTCCTGCTCTGGAGCCAGCTGCGGCCGTGGACACACACAATGAAGCTGTTCCCCAGCACCCCCAGAATGAACTGAGTGGTAGACAGAAGCAGGAACACACACTCCGGGAGGCCCGACATGTCCGCTCCCGCGGGCCTGACCTTCCTTCCTCCTGCTGATGCACAATCTCCTTGCGGTTTGAAATTTCTCTCAACCTGCTTATGGCTTCATGACACCTGTGACTTGTCTCTGCCCAAATGAGGTTGCTGTAGAGAGTGGCGTAGTGTACTCCCCCTGCTTCTTCCAGATGATTCTGTCCTCGTCACAGGTGACACGGATTGTCATGTTCCAAGTATGATGGAAACGCAGAAGCTCTTTGCTAAAATGCAAATAGAGTAGTGTCTGGTGTCACACAGAGAAGGAAGAGATGTGCTTGACAGAGAAGACGGAGCCCTGGGCTCGGTTTCAAAGGGGGCAGATAGAGTCCTGAGCCATCCAGAACAGAGTCATACGGAATCTCTTAAAGAGTGTGAAGTCTCAGTTCTCAGGAGGGAGGGCTCAGGCAGGCACACTAGACCAGAATTCCACCACGAGGCCCCACCAAAGTTACCCTGATAGGAGATTTAAGGGCATAAAGTAGCTCAATCATGGCCTTTGCTTCTGGGCTAGAACAAACAGTTGTACCACTAGCGGATCAGTTAGAGAGCTTTCACTTCTCTGGAAGTCATAGCATCAATAATCCCTAACTATTGTAATGTGTGAATGACAACAACATGAAGAAGAGAAACTACAGCATGTAAGCTATTCAAAATATGGATTTTTTTTCAGAGTGCAGGTCCATTGCACTGATAAGTTCATAATAGACTGACAGAATCACCCATGGATACCAAAGAAAGCTCCTGATCTAACACAGGGCTTACAAATTTACACCACGACCAACAACAATATTTACATATGAAGACATGTGTGTGAATATAAATACACATGGACTGTACATAGATAGACATGGACTTTAATATAGCTTTATTATATGTAAAACAGATCTCAAAGTATACATGAAACATACACTTCACAACCTAAATACATTTATAAATTCTATATATACTGGGAACACAAAGTTGTATTTTCCTATTCTGTATGTGTGATACTCCAATATTTTCTATCCCATCCCTAAAAGTTACATTTCCCAAAAGTTAATTCCAAAGGGAAGTTGTGTGTCGACATAAAAGCAGAAAACCAGTACAGTCCAAAGCAGATAAGAAGAACAAGCAATTGCAGAAAGGATGACGAAAGTCAGGCCAGCAAGGCAGGTATGTTTGAATAACTCTGTGATGGGCAGCCCGAACTCTGATCCCAGCACTTCTGAGAAAGTGGCAGGAAGCCACTGCCTCCTGGCCCCTCAGTTGCTACTAAACACATACTGGGATTGGAGGCAGGATTTCTACTCATCCAGATTACAGAGCGCTTTATGAGCCAGGCAGGGGCCAAACCCAGGATCACAGTGGCCAGCAACGCACAGCCCAGGGCACACATTCTGCTCGTCACTCAGCGAGACCCGCTGCCCGCAAACCCCAGCTGTGACTGTGAAGAGGCAGAAAAGGTCACACTCCTCCATTGGTACAAACCCCGGATGAGGTGTGGCCCAATGGAGGGAAGAGATCTATGGACGATTTCTGAGGGCAGACATGACCTCCAGACCCCAGGTAGAGGAACTTCAAATGGAGCAGGTCATTAACTGCCAGGTACCCAGAAGGCCTGGCGTGGACACACACAAAAAATTACAGGAAACAGAAGGATGGTTTCCTGACAGACCACTTTACTCCCGCTATTAAGAACAGCTAAGCAGGGGTCTCCCTGGTGGCGCAAGGGGTTAACTCTCAGCACTATGAAGCTCGCTGCAGTCATTGCAACACGAGTTCAATCCCTGACAGGGAGTGACCCACAGAGCGCAGCAGACCTCTCCTGTCTCCCCACTGCTCCCATCAGCAGTGTGTTTCAGTGGATCTGTTTGTTCTGCTCCCCACTCTGTCTCTGGTGAATCCTTTCACCCCACACCTCTGGCCTGTCACCCAGGTTTGTATGCATAAAGAAATAAATCTAAAAAAAAAGAAGAAGAAAGTCTATATAGGCAGTTGAGACACACTATGATTCACTCCTAAACAAGAGTGTCCGAAACACAAGTGTCTCTCTCTCCTGTGAGAACAGGAGGGGGCAACTGATGAAATTAGAATTGGAGTTTAGATAGTTTGTGTATCAATGCCAACACCTTAGTTTTGACAAATAGACTAGGTTCTGTGAGATGCTAGCAGCAGAAAAACAAAGAGGAATATGGAAATTCTCTGTACTGACCTTACAATTTGTGCGTTAAAAAAAAAAAGCAAAAAATGAAAACATTGCGCTTTTGAAAAGTATACAAAGCAGTTTGTACAAAAATCACATTTTTAGCAATTTGAGAACAGTGTGCCTCAGAGACTTAGGGGACTAAGATTTCTCCCCTGAACGTTGCAAGATCATGTGAAGAAAAGATGAAGGACGGAGACAGCAGAGAGGGCTGTCTGGACACAGCAATCCACAGCTCGTGACAGCTCCAGCCCCCACGGAACAAAACTCACAGCCAGAGCCCAGGCCGGGCTTAAGGGGAACCATGTCACTCACAGAAAGGCCACGTGCTTCCAAGCAAGACAGATCTGGGCTGGCTTCCCACTGTTACACCAGCAGCCGTGGCCAACCCAGCTGCTCAGGAGCGGTGTCTTCAGGCGAATCTAGTAACCCCTCTGAGCTTCAAGAACCTCTTTACAGACATTCCATGTGAACATTTGCCTGCCAGGCCTACTGTGATGATGAAGCGTACAGGTAGCCTGGTGCCCAGAAAACAGCATTCTCTAGTTACATCTTATTATTCTTTCCTTCTTGGTGACTGCTCACTTCAGTCTCCCCTTTCAATGAGGAAGGAGAGTGCCAGAAGTCAACTCTTATTCACAGCAGGAAAACTAAGATAAATTCATCTTAGAAAGGGGTCAGCTCTGCACAACTCCAGCACCCCTAGGAAGGAAGATTAAAGGTGGAAGAGAGGGCCCTCCCTGGTGGTGCAACAGTTTGAGTGCAGCACCATAGAAGTTTCCCAGAGCCACTCTAGCTTGAGTTCGATCCCCAGCCAGGGAGTTAACCCACATGGCGCAGCAGACCTCTCTTGACCCGCCCGCTGCTCCCCTCAGCAGTGTACTTCATCAGTTCTGCTCCCCACTCTGTCTCTAGTGAATCCTCTCACAACCCCTGCACCTCTGGCCTGTACCCCAGTTCTGTATGCACAAATAAATAAATAATAAATAAAGGTGAAAGAGAGATTACCCCAAAGCTATAAAAACACAGAGCAGTCAAAGAAAATGAGGGATGGTGAGAATTAGAGACAAATTTTCTGAGTAATACCAATGTATTTCATTATTCTCTGAGATATCTGGATTCAGATCATGATAGTCATTTCCTAGCTATAAATACTGCAAAACTGAGACAAATGCATTTTCCTGTATTTAAAACAGGTCAGAAATGTTATGAATCAACTCAATACAGCATGGTCTCAAATAACACCATTCTGTCCAACAATGTTTCCTTATAACCTTGATGAGATAAAGGAGATATTAGATGACTTTGAAAGACAACAGCTCTTTCAGTTTCATCTGGTAACAAGAGCCCCACGGCTCTTGGCTCAGAGGTGCAGCTGGTGCACCTGGCACTGCCCACCCTACCCCTGGCACGAGCTGGGCTTGATGCCGACGCCAGCACAGGGCTGGGTTTTGATACTTCAATGGGAGTGGGTTTTACAACCTTAGTGGTTCTGAAAATGCACCATCAGGATTGGGCTCACACCAGTGCCACCAAACTTTGGAAACAGACCCTCCCTGGTGGCACAGAGGATTAAAGTGCAGCACTGCAAGTAGCCACAGTCCCTTACGTGCTGAGTTGGATCCCCGGACGTGACCCACATGGCGCGGCAGACCTCTCCTGTCTCCCACTGCTTCCCTCAGCAGTGTTCTTCACCAATCTGCCTATTCTGTTCTGTTCTCGTCTCTGGTGAAGCTTCTCACCGCCCCTGCACTTGTACCCCAGTTCTGTATACACAAATAAATCTTTTTTCTTTTTAACAATTTTTTGGAAACAGTTTGAAACCAGGGCACCCTGAACGGGGTATGAGCCTGGGCACTCAGCTCTCCAGCCTCACTGAGACACCTTTCCTGGGAAGTCCTCGCTGCAGATCCTCAAGACATGCAGGTGCTGTCTTCGGTTCTCCAGCTCTTGGCTTGAGCTGTCACTGTCGCCGCCTGATCTCCACACCGCAGCCTGGCAGCTCTCCTGCCTCCAGCTCAGGCTCCACATTAACTGCTGACGTGCCGGTGGCTTGTGCCCAGCCCTCTGAAAGGGCTGTACACTGGGGCCCGATCAGCTGGCACCCCCCGTGCTGCATGCCAGTGTCCGAGCCTCCGGCACCAGCTCTGAGAACTGCCCAGCTCTCCTGATCCTCCGGCACCACTGCCTGCCCACTGCCCCTCCTCCAGCACGTCTGGCGCCACTTCCTGATGCTGTCACCTCTGACACTGTCCTGTCCAGCCTTCAGATCATTACTGCTGGCTATGGTGGTGTCACCTCAGCAGTGCCACCTGGGGCTACTTCCAGCTGCCACCATCAACAGGGTGCTGACCCACCACTCACTGGTGTGCCGCCAGCTCCAGGCTCTCACCCAAGGGACCGCACCATCTTGCACAAGCTGCTCTTAGTCTGGGCCACTGGACACTGCAGCCATCCTGTAGGACTGGACGGACACGGTGTGGGAGAGGACAGGCAGCCATTTGTGACTTTTTATTTTCCATATTTTTGTACATCTTTCTTCATGTTGTACATTTTTTCATCTCGGTTGTAATCCCCATGGACTTCCCACCACCACTTCAGCCGTGTGCCATCCCCACAGTCCCGTGCGCTCTTCCTGCCCCAGTTTTGTGACTGTAGAAAGCCTTTTTCCTTCTCTCGCCCAGTTTCCCCCTGCATTTGAACACACTGTTGGCCTCTCAGCCGGGGTCATGTCTTGAGACTGGAAGTGCACAGGTGAGAAACCATGAACTGTGACGTCTCCACCCAGGTCTTCATGGGG